CATCATCACCTCAAGTCCATGAGAAGAGAGCCAAGGAAAAGGCTGAGAAAGCTAGCCAAATGCCAAGTGTTGAAGAGGCATCTCGAGTCTTCCTGAAGAGCAAGCAAGATCAGTTAGGCTATCTGATTCAAGCTACACTGAGGATTGAGAAGGGCTTGGCCACCCCGACTCAGAATCAGGAGAGACTGCAGAGGATGGTGGAAACAAAATTCTATGATCTTGATCTGAAGGTGACTGAGATTCAGACTGCAGTTGATCAGCTTCAGGAGGAAGCAGAGGAGAGGAGAGGAAAAGCAACCACTGATGCTTTTAAGTGTGTGCCACGAGGTCCAAGGTCTGCTGCAGTGCCAGTCTCAGATGCTAGAGCTTCAGTGTCAGCACCAGCAGCTACAGCTCCAGTGCCACACCTCCAGCACCCACTCCATCAGCTCCAACTACTTCATCGGAAGCCTTCGTCCTTGGAGTTCTATCTACACCACCTCCCAAAGGCCAAGCCTGAGAGACGTATAGCACTATGCATTTTCAAACTTTTTGGTAACTTGTTGCCAAAGGGGGAGAAATATGTATAGATCATAGGCTTTGAGAGAGAGAGTATCTTGCTTTTTATCTCTCTTGCTATTTTGGTTGAACTACTTTATTGTGTGCTTGTGTGAGATACTTTGTATCCTTGTGAGATAATTATATGATCATGTGGTTGACCATATGCTACCTTAATGTTTGGTTGAATGATGCTATCCTTTATATTCCATATATGATCATTCACTTGCTTGGTGATGAGTGCATGCTTTTAATTTCTATCATTTTGAGCGATCCACCAAGATGTATGTGACATGGAAGAGTAACCCATGATCTTAATCGATTGTACATTTGCATTCAAAAGCAAATTTTAAATAATGCACAAATTTAGGGGGAGCTCTTGCTTATCACATACTTCTCAAAGCGACGATGTTTTTCAATCTTATAATCATTTGTCGAAGCTTTGATCTATATGTTGTCATCAATTACCAAAAAGGGGGAGATTGAAAGTGCAACTATCCCTGGGTGGTTTTGGTAATTCCTAACAACATATAGCTCATTGAGCTAATGCTACTTGAAGATAAATATTTCAGAAAAAGCTCAATGATTGGCATGGCATGGATTAGAAAGTGGACCCCTCAAAATGCTAAGGACAAAAGGATTGGCTCAAGCTCAAAGCACAAGACTCTACATTTCATTTTTTGTGATCCAAGATCACATTGAGTCCATAGGAAAAGCCAATACTATTAAGAGGGGGTGAGGTGTTGCTTAATGAGGTTCTTGCTCAAAGTGCTTAGTGATATGCTCCACAACCCTCAACCACTTTCTCATATCCAAATATATCCCAAACCAAAAGTCAAACTCGGCCCCACCGATTTGATCTATCCGGCGCCACCGAGTTCACTTGACATAGCCACTGCCACAAACCCTAGTCTTTTCGGCCCACCGATAGGGATCTCGGTCTCACCGAGATGGGATTGTAATCTCTCTATTTCCCTTCGTAACATTTCGGTCCAACCGAGATGAGCGATCGGTCCCATCGAGATTGCAATGCAAACTCTTTGTTTCCCTTTCATAACGTTTTGGTCCTACCGGGAGAGCGAATTGGTCCCACCGAGATTGCCTGACCAACTCTCTGGTTAGTCTATTACCAAAATCGGTCTCACCGAGTTTGTGTAATCGGTCTCACCGAGATTATGTTATGCCCTAACCCTAATGATATTGGTCCCACCGAGTTGACAAGTCAGTCCCACCGAAAACCCTAACGGTCACATTATGAACTAAATCGTCTGACCGAGTTGTATGATTCGGTCCCACCGAGTTTGGTGATTTGTGTGTAACAGTTAGATTTTGTGTGGAGGCTATATATACCCCTCCAACCTCTCTTCATTCATGGAGAGAGCCATCAGAACATGCCTACACTTCCAACATACATTTTCTGAGAGAGAACCACCTACACTTGTGTTGAGGTCAAGATACTTCATTCCAACCACATAAATCTTGATTTCTAGCCTTCCCCAAGTTGCTTTCCACTCAAATCATCTTTCCACCAAATCCTATCCTATGAGAGAGAGTTGAGTGTTGGGGAGACTATCATTTGAAGCACAAGAGCAAGGAGTTCATCATCAACACACCATTTGTTACCTCTTGGAAAGTGGTGTCTCCTAGACTGGTTAGGTGTCACTTGGGAGGCTCCGTCAAGATTGTGGAGTTGAACCAAGGAGTTTGTACGGGCAAGGAGATCGCCTACTTCGTGAAGATCTACCCTAGTGAGGCAAGTCCTTCGTGGGCGATGGCCATGGTGGGATAGACAAGGTTGCTTCTTCATGGACCCTTCGTGGGTGGAGCCCTCCGTGGACTCGCGCAACCGTTACCCTTCGTGGGTTGAAGTCTCCATCAATGCGGATGTACGATAGCACCACCTATCGGAACCACGCCAAAAATCTTCGTGTCTACATTGTGTTTGCTCCCTCCAAACTCCTCCATTTTACCTTCATATGCAATTGCGATAGCACCACAACAATGAGACTATCATTTGAAGCACAAGAGCAATGAGTTCATCATCAACACATCATTTGTTAGCTCTTGGAGAGTGGTGTCTCCTAAATTGGTTAGGTGTCACTTGGGAGGCTCCGTCAAGATTGTGGAGTTGAACCAAGGAGTTTGTACAGGCAAGGAGATCGCCTACTTCGTGAAGATCTACCCTAGTGAGGCAAGTCCTTCGTGGGCGATGGCCATGATGGGATAGACAAGATTGCTTCTTCGTGGACCCTTCGTGGGTGGAGCCCTCCGTGAACTCGCGCAACCGTTACCCTTCGTGGGTTGAAGTCTCTATCAATGTGGATGTACGATAGCACCACCTATCGGAACCACGCTAAAAATCTCCATGTCTACGTTGCGTTTGCTCCCTCCAAACTCCTCCATTTTTACCTTCATATGTAATTGTTTTACATTCCGTTGCTATACTCTTAGAATTGCATGTGTAGGTTGTTTTCTTGACTTGTGCTGAGTTGCTAAAATCTGCCAAGAATTAAAATTGGGAAAAGGCTAGATTTTTATTTGGTCAAGTAGTCTAATCACCCCCCCTCTAGACATACTTTCGATCCTACAGTATTGTATTGTTGTCATCGAGGATAAAAAGATGGGGTTTACATCATATTGCTTGAGTTTATTCCTCTACATCATGTCATCTTACTTAAAGCGTTACTCTGTTCTTCATGAACTTAGTACTCTAGATGTAGGCAGGAGTCAGTCGATGTGTGGAGTAATTGTAGTAGATGCATGCAGGAGTCGGTCTATTTGACACAGACATGATGCCTATATTTCATAATCATTGCCTTGGACATCGTCATAACTTTGCGCTTTTCTATCAATTGCTCGACAGTAATTTGTTCACCCACCGTATTATTTGCTATCTTGAGAGAAGTCTCTAGTGAAACATATGGCACCCAGATCTATTTTTCATCACATAAGTTTCCAATCTACTATTTTGTAATCTTTTACTTTCCGATCTATAAACCAAAAAACTTCAAAAACATTTACTTTATCTTTTGTTTAGTTTTATCTATCTTTATCGGGTCTCACTTTTGCAAGTGACCTTGAAGGGATTGACAACCCCTTTATCACGTTGGGTGCAAAGTGTTTGATTGTTTGTGCAGGTATTGGTGATTTGCGCGTTGTCTCCTATTGAATTGATACCTTGGTTCTCTAACCGAGAAAAATACTTATCTCTACTTTGCTGCATCACCCTTTCCTCTTCAAGGGAAAAACCAACGCAAACTCAAGAAGTAGCACGCGACTTCATTGGTCTGTGTAGCAGGGGAGTGAGGGCGTGGGAACGGGCGGTTCCACGTGGTCCGCTCGATTTTGAGAGACCGCTTGGGATGAATAATCAGGGAATATGCCATTCCCTTGAATCGGTTGGTTCCGGTTCCTTCGACGATCCAAACGAGGAATGGGTCTTCGGGAAGGACCCGACCCGTGCCGTTCCACTTGATGACAGAAACCAAACACACCCTTAATTGGCATACCGAAGATTGGCGCAAACCCTAGACTTTCTCATCATAAGACTGTTACTTTGCACTCTATTTTGTGACTTCAAGGCATCTTCTGAGCTTTAGTTTGTCAGGGTCTAACACGAAGGCCGGGGACATCGGCGGCAACAAGCGTGTGGCATCGGGGGATCGAGAAACATGCAAGATGGAACATGGGAATTGGGCATCCGTGCAAGTTCATGAGATGGTTTAGGTAGACTCTGGCAACTGGGCTGGCAAGGCGTCCCGGCCCTGTGATAAGTAAGGCTTGGTTCGAATTTTCCCATGTCTGGCTAAGTCGGTTTGACTTGGGTTGATTCAACCCTTGCCGGTTGTTGGTGCCATCCGTCACCGTTTGAAGCTTCTTCTGTCTTCTGTATCTAGTCACTTCTTCTTGCTCCTTCACAACCCCAATCTTTTTTGTTGGGTTGCATGTACGTGAATGTATATATTTATACTATATTTTTCTAGAAAAGTCAAAAAACTGTGTTTTTAATCTGGTTTTAACCGAGAAAATAGAATCAGGAAATACTTATCAAATCGCTAGAAATTCCGATTTCCCACATTTGTAACCCTAAGCCCCCTTGCTACGCTGCAACCATTTCGCAGCACCAACCATCAGTGACAGAATCTCACCAAAAATACCACCGCTGACAGCGAGGCCCCACCGTGCAGTTACCAGTGGCTCACCGTAGACCAGGTGCAGGCAGCCACCAACTACCACCCTCCCCTCACCTTTCCGTCCCATAATTCATTCCAATCACTCACACGCACCGACCCACACCGGAGCAAACGGCCAACAAACACCGCACGCTCGCTCGCGCGCACACCGAAGCAGTGGAAAGAGAGGAGCGGACAGAAAAGCCTGGAAAGCCAAAAAAGAATTCACCAGCACAAAGGGGAAAGGAGAGAGAGAGGCGAGGCGAGGCTAGGGTTTCGTCCAATTCCGCCATGGATTCCGGTGACGCGTGGGGCCGCTCCTCCTCCACCTCCTCCTCCGCCGCCGCCGCGAGGCGCCTGCAGTCCCGCTACGGTACGATCGATCGATCGGCTGATTTCGCCTTTTTAATTCGACGTTGGGGCTGATGCGTGATTTCGCTGTGGTCGCACGTCAGATCTGTACATGGGGTTCGACGACGCGGACGCCGGCGGGGATGAGGTGGAGGCGCGCGGGGCGGAGGCCTACAACTGCCCCTTTTGCGGCGAGGACTTCGACTTCGTCGGGCTCTGCTGCCACATCGACGACGAGCACGCCGTCGAGGCCAAGAGCGGGGTATGTCGCCTCGCCCTTTCTGATGATTCGCTTGGTCGGGTCCCGTTTGAGCCCTTGAGATAATTTTAGCCGAAATGGGACATTTTACGCCAAGTATTGTTAGGATGCGTCACGCTTGAGGACGGAAATGTTGATAATGGTGCAATTAAGGAACCCATACGTTTTAGTGGTTCGGAAAATCCATTGTTCTTGTAATTTTGATATGGAATAGGTTTACTGCTTTGTAGATTGCTGAAAAGATGAGATTCTTGAATGTTCTGCTGGAGAATTCTTGTTTGTCTGTGGTAGTTCGGGTTGGAAATGTAGAAATCAAGTTCCCTTTTGGGTGGCTGCGTTGGAACACTTTAGGAACCTGCTCCCTTGACAGAGAGTTTCTTTATGGTGTTGCTGGTTGGAATTGCGGGATGTGGTTGGCCTCTGGCGTTCCTACAGGAGTCTTTATGGCTCTTGGGAATTTTTCCTTTGGTCAGTTTGGTTTTGGAATGTAGTTCCCTTGGGTTGTAGGAGTATTAGGTATTGTTGGTTCTCGAGTTGAGTTATGCAACTAGCTGAAACAGTTTTGTGTTATGGCTGGCCAATAAGATTGTCAGTACACAGTGGAGAATATGCTCAAAGCTTAATACACTAATCCGAATCGAAGAAATAAACATCAAATGTAGGTTTGTTGAATTTAAATTTTATCATCAAATAATCATGACATCACCGAAATTCCTCACTTTCTCCTAATATTAGCAATGAAAGTGTGAAGTGGTAACTTCTCAACAACAACCATCAACTTTGGTAAAATTCTTACCATATAGCTGACTCGGTCTCAAATATAAGGCGTGCCGTTTTTTGAGATATATCTTTGACTAATCAGTTATTATTTTTGGATTAACTTATACGAAATCGGTATTATTCAAAAGTTCATTTCAACATGATTCCAACAATCTCATTTTTGAATCACACAATCCACATATGGTTGACCAATTAGATTCTTGATCAAAGATAATCTTGAGAAACATGTGCTATATTTTAGGACCGAAGAAGTATCTCAGCTAGTCAAATATATTTACTAATACTGAATTTGGAAAGAAAAGAAGTTGCTTGAATCAAGAAAATCTCGTATAGCTACAGGCCACTGCTCGCCTCCCCTGCTACACGGCCTCTGGATGCCAACGTGTTGTGCGGCACGCGATGACGAGAGAGGGGTTCAACACAGGCTAGCTGTTGGGCGGGCCATAGGCACTAAGGCCCAAGCGCCGCTTGCATTGCCCAGAACTGTGTAGGCAATGCCACACGTATTAACATGATCCCTTTTGTGATTATCTCCCATGATTGCTTTGCTTATGCATATATGCCTTTTTTCTGGAAAAATCAGAGGCTAGGCTGTCGAAGCCCACCTGATAGATTCGCTACTGGCTATACAAGTTCCTTTTGAGAATTTCTCTTTACAAAATTTTAGTTTCCTGTTCTTAGTCTCGGGCCCTCTTAGGTGCCATGTATTATTCCTCTCTTCAGTTTGAGTAATTGTTTTTCTTGTTAAGAACTCAAGTTCTAAGCTCTCTGAATTGTAGAAGATCATCCTTCTCCTTCAAAGTAGGGCGTGCATTATTAAATATGTTATGTTGTTTGAGATATAGTTGCTAGGCTAGCTATGTTCGTTAGTTGAGAGTTTGGATACATGGTTCTTGCACATTTCATTGAGTAAAAGTTGTGTCACACTGATTAATTTGTGTGTGGTGCGGAGTAGAGTTATCTATAGAATAAAAAGAGTGGTACTTAACTTTTTATGGTTCGCGATTGCTACCTGGTTTTCTACATTGGGACTCACATTTACTGTTTAGGGACACTAGAGAGTTAAGTTTCTTGTTTTATTATTACACTTAGAATATAAATTAATGCGTGTTTTGCTGGGTTACCTTGAGTTTACTTGGACTGTAAGCCTAGAGAGAGTTAAACTAAAACGTACTCCCTCTGTCCTTCAAAAAACGTCTTATATTATGGGACAGAGGGAGTAGTTCATTTTTACCTGTATTAGGCATAATTGGCAGTTTAGTTTTCTTTTCTTGTAGGACTTCATTGTGACACCGTGCTCACCTTGTGTCCTTGCTTGTGTGAGCATAACTGTTTGATGAATTCAAATAATAAGCACTCATGGAATTTTATGAACTAACCTTTCAGGTATGCCCCATCTGTGCTACAAGGGTTGGGGTGGACTTGATAGGCCACTTGACAATGCAGCATGGAAGTTACTTCAAGATATCCTTTTCTTTATTCACACTGTACTGCTGCCAATGAGTACTAGTGACTTTACCATATTACAATGTGTCCTCTTCAGAATACATGGTTTCTATTGGAAGACAATTTATTCATTGCTTTCCTTAATGAAGAATACATGCAACGCAGGCGCAGAGTCCGAAAAGTATCTTCCGGGTCCCATTCTTTGCTGTCTTTGTTGAGAAAGGATTTAAGAGACGGCAGTTTGCAGTCCTTTCTTGGTGGATCATCCTATGTATCTAATCCTCCCGCTGCAGCCCCTGATCCATTTTTGCAATCTTTAATTTGTAGTTTGCCTGTGGCTGAACCATCGAAAGGTTTTCGTTCCGACTCATCTGACAAAACATTTTTGCTAAATAAATTCCCAGATGAAAAGGTCGTAGAGAGGTATGTCACCTCAAGCTTTGTTCTTTCTGCTGCCTCACTCCGCTCCTTCTTTGCCACGATACTACTATCTCTGCTCAGTGGATGATAGATTTCCACATTCTACATTGTGCACTGTCCTTGTGCATAGCCAGTACCGCTTTTTATGCCCTCTAAGCATGCATAAAATGGCAAAGCCTTGATGCCAATTAGTTTTTGTCATTGTTATCAATTGTATAGTACATTGTCTGTTATGGTTACGTGGTTACCTTTTTGACGTATTACTTGTCCCTTTTACGCTGTTAGTATGAGCATGATTTATTCTTTAATCTGCTTGGCATCATTTGATTTTGAAGATATTTGTCCAAGAAAACACTAGCTTTAACTTAATCATGTGCCGTATATCATAATAGTCTACCCATCCGTATGTTTCATACTGATGATTAATGTTATGTGCCTTATGGTTTTTGATGATTTGTTGCTCATCAGAATTTTTAAATCATTTCTCAGTACCAAATGTAGGCAAGTTGTACCTTTTGAGTTTTGAAATGTATGTTTTGCTGTAGTTTAATAGTTCTTGTTATCAAATATTTGATTGAATGTCTGTGGTGAATTTACAGAGCTGAAACATCTCTGTCCGAGAAGGATCAGAAGGAGAGGGCTCAGAGGAGTGCATTTGCCCGTGGGCTTGTGCTTTCCACAATATTTGATGATGATACCATGTAAGGGAGATCGACTTTGATAGTGGTTGCATGACATAGTCCAGGGCGCTCAGCACAAGAGAATTTATCTAGAGCGCTGCAACCTTGTTCATGCAGCCACTGCCGCTCACAGGCGTTAACGACCTACCGGAGGTCCATCCAGTTATGAATGTATATGTATTTATGTATGCCTTGCCGAGAGCGCATCATGAGAATAGTGGAGGAAGGCCTTGTGTTGCAGCTTTCCACATGGAATAAATGGGGATACTATCCTTAGTGGCATTGTGCATATACAAAAGAGGGGCGAGCTACTCGTCATGTATTAGATTATATTCTGTTTCATCAATGTAATAAGTGTGTTGTAAACTCATCTCATCCTTAGTATGTGAGATTGCTTTGATGCTTTCTGTATATATTCGATTGTGGTACATTTGACATTTGAGGAAAGGGAATGGAGTGAATTTAACATTTCTTGCTGTTTCAGATGTAAACTGAAATGAAATAGATTGGCCAATTAGTTTCTTATCTCTTGATGGTTAGTACATCTCATACTCTTTCACCGCTTGGTTTCACGTGTTGGGTCTCCATCTGATAGCAAACTTGATAGATAGCATGCCAATCGAAGCTGTATATCTAATTGCAGCTTCTCTGTTATATATGCACCGGAACGAAATTCAGAGACTCGGCGACGAAGCTGTACATCTAACTGCAACTTCTCTGCTGTAGATTGAAACCTTACCTAGAAAAGCTGAACCTGATATTTACTAAAAGGGACGTGTTCACTACCAGGTCTATGCACCAGATGGAGAATGATGTGCATGGGGGCTAACTTTCAGTGGATTTGGAGGGCAAAAAATCCTTTGAAAATTCAAAAATTTCTTTGGCAGCCCTTTCAAAATGCTATACCTATTAGGTATGTGATGCAAAAGAAAAATGGCCTGGCAATAATGTTTGTTCGTTTTGTGATCACCATGAGTCGGTGCAACACCTTTTCTCCCATGCCCTGTAGCCATGTCCTAACAATGTGCGGCAATTCTATGCTTGGTGTTATGTTTACTTTCCAGTGGGAGCCATCTGCTGGGCCATTGGCTAGCTCGTGATAAGGCAAACCTTTTGAGAAGAAACTAAACAATCTCCCTTCGACATTGTGTGTTCTGTTTGGTCCCTTTTATTGTGGGTTTCCTGATAATGCATCCAACTCAATTCTTCTTTTCCTTCAGAGCTGTCCGTAACTTTGTATTTCGTTATGCAAGTAAATGGAAAGGGGGTACCCGCACAAAATCTTGGATTGATATTTGTGCTGAGGTTTGGACCTGGCACATCCATTTAATTTCCCAATTGTTGCAACATGTCATTCGCCATTCTGTTTTTTTTTTTTTTTGCATTCTTTGGATTGTTTACTACATGTGTCACGTGGTTAATATGTCATTCACCGTTCAGGTTAATATGCCAGCTGCTGCTACATGGAGCAATGCTACGGGTAACAAGGCCCACCTTGTCTTGCTGATCTTGAGCCTTCTGGTGCTGTAATTCTATTCCCCTAGTCTCCTAGAATAATAAAAAAAACTGTTTTGCTAAAGCACATCTAGATTCTATGTCACCTGATTTTATACGGAGATTGGTGCAGGTGTTTTTTTTTTCTTTTTATGCTTGATTGAGTCACCTAGATATGCAATAACTAGGGCACCATAGACATACATTCATGATCTCCCTGCATAAAAGAAAAGAAAAAGAAAAACCAACAGAATATGTGGGTAATACATGCATGCATGCATCGTCGACTCTGAAGTAACCATTGCATGGCTTGGAACTTCACACCCGCACCAATCATGAAATTAGTACTAGTGATATCATGAAAACAACTTGATAAACCAAACCAAACAATCTTTGATTGAGTCACCTAGAACATAGCACCGCTTTATTCAAAATCATGAAAACAACTTGATAAACCAAACCAAACAATCTATTCAGCGATGGTCCTTCCCCTCTTGCTTATCCCTCCCGTCCCGATTCGATCTTCAGTTGGAAAGCTTGTTGACGAACCTCTTCTTGGGCCTGATCTGGTTGCTGTGGCCGCACTTCTTCTTACGGCAGTTGGTGGACCTCAGGGGAAGCCGAGCGTAGCACCTGTGCCACACCACCACAGGTTAACAACAAAGATTCGGTCGATCATATGAACTCATGCATGCATGGGGTATATATGTACACGTACTTGCGGCAGACCATCTTCTTCTCGTTGTACTTGAGCGCCAGCTGCAGGAGATTGGGCTCCACGTTTAGGTAGCCTCCCCTGGTACCGCCGCGGAGGCGGAGCACCAGGTGCAGCGTCGACTCCTTCTGGATGTTGTAGTCGGCCAGGGTGCGCCCCTCCTCCAGCTGCTTCCCCGCGAAGATGAGCCGCTGCTGGTCCGGAGGGATCCCTGCAACAACCAACCAACAGTTTAGCATTAGCAATTTAGCATCGTCGATATCGCCAACAGCCCAACACAGTGTGTACGGCAAGGCGGCCGCCGGCGAGCAGACGATCTCGAGCCAAGAAGATGAGATCAGTCGACGGCGGTGCGTACCTTCCTTGTCCTGAATCTTGGCCTTGACGTTGTCGATGGTGTCGCTGCTCTCGACCTCGAGCGTGATCGTCTTCCCGGTCAGGGTCTTGACGAAGATCTGCATCTTGGCGGGCTGAACGATCAACCGCTCCCTCGCTTCAGTTGTTTGATCGTCGTGGGGTAATGGGGTGGTGGTCGTCGTGGGCGATCGCATTCTCGATCTCAGGTAAGGAAACCCGCTCGCTACGAAAGTAACCCACCCCAACGGGACATCTCCAACGTGGAGCGTAATTTTCGCGTGGGGTAAATGGAAACCGTAACCACGTTTATTTTTTATTCTTTTGAAATGCGAACCAACATGTTGCAACTTCACCTTTGGAGGATGAGCGCACAGTCGACCATGAACGCACCGAGCTCACCCGTCTCAAAGACGAGAACAACAGTTGTTCGATGAGCTCGAGGCGCTTCTAGAGGAGGAGGATGTCCCGCAAGTGCACATGGGTGGTTGAAGCACTCTCGTGAAAGTACAATCCTAGTTTAATATCATTCCCAACCAAATGTAGGGGAGGTGTCACAAGTCTTGTATGTGAGCTGACTATTTTGGTGTCTGCAAGAATTATGATGAGGATCACAAGTAATTGAGGGGTGAAATAATTTTTCTAAGACTAAGGCAACGAATAAAGGACACAAAACAAAATAAATGTTGGTTTGTCTGCAATGGAGAAGTTAGACGCGAAGAGGTTGGCCGTGTAGGTCTTCGGACTGGGTCCTTAAATTAGACAACAAGCATATACTCGCCACACATAAACAACATAGTAATTAATCATCGAAGTAATCTCACAAATATCAACATATGGATTAGCCGATTAGGCACGAATAAATATCACTAATCCCATACATTTCCCACGCCTTGGGGAATTACTTGCGCATGAGAGAAGGATAACCACCGGACAACGAGATTATGCAAAGGGAAACCATCTCAATAATATCATAGATCGCATGTTGAATGATTAAACCAATCTCAATCTCTGGACCAAAGTTAGAATAGAGTTTACAAATCATAGCCTTACAAGTTGGAATCTCTCTCTACGACGATGTTATCGTTGGTGCAGAGGGAGCCGGAACATATCTAAGTGAAGCAATTCTCCTCCGGATCTCTCCTGTCTGCTCTAGTCGCGGTTCATGGTTGTCTTGTTGTTCTTCTCTATATGCCGTAAACAAAAAAAAATGCTCGTATAAGTGAGGGGGAGGCAGCGCTGCCTGGTACGAGGAGCGGTACAAGTGGCGATGCTCATATCACACGCCGTCTTCTTCTCTGGATGTGCCAAATGAAGATCTTACCAATTGGAAACTTTATAAATCCTCTACTCTACTATCCAAATATATCTCCAAATCCTTCTAAAAGTCTTTGTTCATGAAAAACAAGGAAACAAGGCTTCTCTACTTTTGACAAATAATCGTTAGTGAAAAGGCAAAACCGACGAAACCCATGGTTAATCTGAGCAAAATACACTTGGAAAACTGTCATAAAATGTGAGGACAATGATGAGATGTTGTGGAGTTGGCCCATCACCAATGGCATAAGACTGGTCCCTCTAGTGTGGGCGGG